CCATATGTTCTAAAGTTTGACAATGGGGAGAGAGAAGATAATGTTTCTTAAATAGAAACACTTGACAAATATTTCTTACCTCATGAACATCTCTGTTGATATCTCTGCTGATAGAAGCAGGAGCCTCCCAAGAGAGGGACAAGAGGATGGTACTACAGTTGACTGCAACAAAGAAGGAACAAAGCAATGAGGAACTCGTCAATAGAAATATTAATCATTTCTTTCTTGAGATTTCATCTCGTAATTAGGATCCTTTCAACATTTCCATTACTGTGGTAAATTCGTGTTGCAAAATTAATGAAGAAAGTGAGTTCCTGCCAAACTACTTGCTGGGAAAGAAAAAGCCCTTTATTGTTGCAGGCACCCTGGGTACCCGACTTCCCCAAGCAGGAAGCGGGAAAGACAAAGTTCCTTGTTGCCATAAGCACCCTGGGAACCCGACTTCCCTAAGAAGGAAGCGAGATTGACATAGTCCTTTGTTGTCACAGGCATCGTAATACCTGTAAAAGTTGTAGAGGACGATGTGCTAACAATCTCTTTGATTTCACTGCGGAGTTAGACATGATTCCTATCCATGTGGAGAATGAGGAATCAGATGATGAGGAACAAGAGGTATATTTAGATAGTGAACCTGAATTGTATGAATATGAGACTCTAAAGGAAGGTGTGCAAGAAGAAGTACAAGAATATGATTCATCTAGCTAATCACTTCCTATTCTTTCTTTATTGCGATTTGTTGTACTAAAGACATTGATCAATTTGCTTTGACTTGTAAACTATATTGAGATTACTGTTTCGTTCAATTCGTTGCACTTCTTTTATATTTTCTCCCGTGCATATTAGTGACTGGTTTATGGTTTTCAGATGGATGATTCTCAGTCAGATGACATTAGTAGTCATGGCAGAGAGGGTGGCCACCTTATTAGAAGAGGTAGGATGAACACTATCCCCGTCGGTAGAGGACGTAAGGATTCTCCCGACATGCCTCTTCTACAAATGTCATCCTCATCTTCTACCACTGACTCTGTTATGGGCCCAAAACCCCGGTGGTTTATCTCCCACTCCGCCTACACTTTCGGGCGTGCTAGAGCAGGGTAAACCTAACTCCAATTTGAATTAGTCAAGTATTAATATTTTGTTTATAATTTTTGTTGTTAATTGTTTCAATGGAAAACATGTTTGTCTTTTAAAGGATTTTTTCCCTTCCTCTGTTGTGGGAAATGCATCTTCTTGCTAGGAGCCACGGTGAGGATTAGTTGATCCCGTCATAAACCATGTCTGGATCCATCTGTTGGGGAGAACCGAGTAAGTTTTTTTGTTACAATGTGGTACTAATTTCTTTTAGTTTTTACCCTCTTGTTTGTATGCTAATATTTTGATTTATTCTTGTTATTAGGTTCAACCCACGGGAACTCACCCATGATTTCAAGCGAAAATGATTTTTCGTAATTTCAACCAGCCATATAGCTGTTAGAAAGATGTTCCCAAAAGCACCAGGGATGGTTGGTGTGATTCTTTCATAGTAAGTTTGCCTATATTCTAATTGGTAAACCATCCTTTTCAATATGCGTATTGTATTAATGTAATGTGTGATAATATGCACTAATCGCTTGTATTTTGGGAAATTAGCAAAAGCACTTCCAAGTAAAGTCCCCACCATCGCGAAAATTTGTAAAAAGCTTTCAAACATACGACTGCCAAGTGGTATGACGAGAGAATGCACAATTTTGAGGGTGGGCAAGGCCATCCAAACTTGCTGTAATTCTAAAATCGAGAGGCAATTGATGGAAAAATGGGTTGGAGATGACAAATTTCAGCAGGTGGGGGAGCGAAACAAGCAAAATAGGGTTCACATGTCAGGACCCTCTTATGCTGGAGGCTGCATTCCAATATCCGAGCACAAAAGAAGACTTATACGTATACATTCTCTTGCATTTCAGTATCCTATATTTTGCAATTACAAGTAATGAATAATGCTAGTTTTAATTTGCAACAAGCTACTGGGGAGGTGCCCCTAGAGGAGCTTGACTTCTCTATCTTTCATAGGACTCACACACAAGAGTCAAAAGTTAGGACCCAGTGGTGGATTAATGACACAACCAGGGAATTAGCTGTGAGTTATTAATTACTTCGCTTTTGTTTGATTTATTGCGTTTATTTCACTTTATCGTTATTAATAATTTGTTTTCTTTTTTTACAATGTAAACATGTAGGAAGAGTACGATAGGCTCACGGAGGAGAATCAGTCACATGCATTGATAGATGGTGGAACCCACATCTCTCAAGCCGATAACAATGAATTATTCCTGAAGGCAAGTACAAATTTTTTAAACAAATAAGATTTTGGACTTGGGAGCATCTGGCAGCCATATGAAGAGTACTAAGCGCCCATCCAGCCAACTTATAGGTGTTTCAGAAGGTAAAGACATACAATTAACTATTTAAAATTTTCACTCCCTGATCCATTTAAATTAATTACAAAACCATTGACATGGGTCGTAATGTATTTGCAGATAAGCTTGCCAAGATGCGACGATTAACAAACGAATTGCAGGCCAAGCTGCACCAGCAAAAGGATAAAATGGCAGTTGAGCTAGAGCAAATGAACACGAAACAGGAAGAGATGGATAAGGCCTTAAAGAAATTGCTAGAGAAGACGCGAAGAAGAAGCAGAAGTAGAAGATAATGATGAAGAAGCAGAAAAAGGCACCTGCAAATGACTCCTTGATAAACCTTTGGTTTACCATGTTTTTAGGCTAAATTATATGAGGAATATGCAGTAGATTGCATGGAATTCAAGGTTTTACAACATATAAATCATAAGATAGGAATTTGAGCTAACGTTTTAATTTTCTTTGCATTTTGAAGGTAAAACCACACTTCTTGGTGCTAAGAAGTGATGAAGAAATCATGTCAAAGAGTTGCAGCTCAATATGTACCAAAGGAAGCCAAAATAATACAAGTAAAGGGCCACAAGAGCACGCTCAAGAGCACAGAATGGATGCTCGAGCGCGTCCAAGCAGGAAAATAAGCTAAATTGAGCAATCCAGGGCGCTGAAGCGCCCAACAGCACGCTCAAGCGCCCAACAGCACGCTCAAGCGCCCAAGACTACAAGAGTTCACCATCGAGGAGCACGCTCGAGCGCGTGTGGGCAGACAACTTCAAGCAATTTTATGCACTTGAGCGCCCAATACGAACACAATCAGCCCAAGATTTGATTTGATTTGCTAATTGATATAGATTTGTAATATTCTAAATAAAAGCGGAAAAATCAATCTTGATTTATTAATGGATAGAGATTCATGGGGAGATTGGATGGAGAATTAAAAGATATGGCTTCAAAGGTTATAAATAGTGAGCTTGGGGTCAATGGAATTCACCAATTCACCAATCCAGAGAATTACACAGAGACTTGAAGGAGGAATCCTGTTGCAGAGCGTTGGAGCACTGAGGAACCGAGTCAACATCACACCAATGGATGCTTGAGGTTCTCTTTTCTTTATTATTGCTTTTGAATTCAGTATGCTAGGCTAGACTTTTATGTAGTTAAGGGTAGATGGAACCCAATTGAATCGTATGTCTTGAATTAAATTGTTCATGAATTCTTTTCTTTTTATAATTGAATAAATTTATCTGTCTTTAATGCTTTCTATGAGTTTGCTCCTTATAGATTGATTTAGGGGAATTGTATGACAATAGGGATGTTGGTACATAAACCCTGACTTGATAAATTTATCATAATCCTTGTGATCTAGGGATAAACATAGCGTAATTGTGCAATCTTTAAATTCTTGATCTTAATGCATATTTTCTTGGGGAATAATCGGGGAACTAGAGTTCTTTCTAAATCACATAGATTTAGGGTAACAAGGAATTGAGCCCTAATTAACTTAGAAAGAATTGATTGGCATTATATTAAGAACGAATTCTTGACAATTTAATTCATTGCATATATAGGAGATTGAGAGAAGTCGAAACCTTAACTATGCTTGTTTTTAAATTCTTAATCAATCACCTTTTCAATTGCTTTCTAATTTTGAATTTTAATTTGCATGTTATTAATTGTTTTTAATTTCACTTCTCTTCATCTCATTCTTTGTTGTCCAACTAAATCGTTGTTAGCGAAATACTACTTGAAAACCAATCCTCGTGGGAACGATCTCGTACTCAGTACACTTTTATTAGTTTTATGACCGGTGCACTTGCCGAAGTCGCAACAAGTTTCGCGCCGTTGCCGGGGAATGGATCCTTCAACATTAGAAGTAACTAAAAACTGTTTAGATTGGACGTTTTAATTTTCTGCACTTTAAAAAATTCTGCAAAAACAGTTTCTGCATTAAAAATTCCGCATTTATTTGTTGTATATTTTGCATTCGTTAATTTTCTGCATTCTTTTTTTGTTTTTATTTTTTGTTTCTGCATTTTTCTGTTTTTCTGCACATCTTTTAAATCTTAGTTTATGCGAGGTACTCTTAACCCACGAATCTTGCAGTTTGATCCTGAGATAGAAAAGACAAAAAGAAAACTCAGAAAAAGCGCAAAAGAAAGAAAAGTGAAGGAAGCAAAAGAATCCTCAAGTTCAACGGAACCCAAGGAAGAAACAATGGTTGACAACAACGTACTTCAGAACCCTCCGAGGACGTTGGGAGATTACATGACTCCAGCCCGAGTTCCACAGACGGCAAGCATTATTAGACCAACTGTGGATGCTAACAACTTCGAGCTCAAGCCAGCACTGTTACAATTGATTCAAAAAGAGCAGTTTGCTGAAGGAAGCACAGAGGACCCCTACAGTCATCTTGATGATTTCCTACTTTACTGTGATACATTAAAGATGAATGGAGTCTCTCGTGATGCCATCTTGCTCAGACTTTTTCCATGTTCACTCAAAGAAGATGCAAGAGTTTGGCTACAATCACTACCTGAAGGAAGCATAACCAGTTGGGATGACCTAGCAAAGAAATTATTGGCCAGATTTTTCTCAGATTCAAAGATGGCAAGGCTCAAAGCGGAGATCACTGCTTTTAAACAAAAGAAAGCGAATCTTTATTCGAGGCATGGGAAATATTTAAAGGACTACTCCGAAAGTGTCCTCAACATGGCATTGAAGCTTGGGAGAAAGGACAAATTTTCTTTCAAGGAATAACGCCAAGCACAAGAACCTTGGTGAATACCGCAGTAGGAGGATCGTTGAAAACAAAAACTCCAGAGGAAGCGCTGGAATCTTTAGCTTCTCAGGAGTATGATAATGCTCCAGTCTCATGCAGGAGAGCGGGAATCATGAAGCTTGATGGCTATGATGCAATATTAGCTAGAATGAACAAATACTGCAAATTATTAAGAAACAACAAGCACAATTAGATGCTCTTACAAAGCAATTTAATCTTTCCCAAGTTTCTTCTGTTAGTATTTCTCAAGTTACTTGTGGTATTTGTGCAGGTACTCATGCAACTAAAGATTGTGATTACATGAGGACACCTGAGAATGCCGAAGTCAACGGAATCTGGTATGATCAAAAGAACCAGAATAATCTGGGGAGGAACCAATATGGTAATAACTATAATCAAGGGTGGAAAAATCAAAATCAACACTCAGGGTTAAGTTACAAATCAAGCCATCAGCTGAATCCTCCTTTACCAATGCAACAACAGCCCCCACCACAAGGCAACACTTTAGAGTGGGAGAAAGCTTTTGCACAGCTGTCCAAGACTACCTCGGACTATATTCAGAATGCAAATGCCTTCAGAGATGAAACAAGAGCTTCATTCTGGAATCAAGAAGCTTCTATCCGAAATCTGGAAACTCAAATTGGCCAGCTGTCAAGACAGTTCACTGAAAGAACCCATGGCACCTTCCCAAGTAACACAGAAACTAACCCAAACACACAATGTAATTCTATTGTTACCAGAAGCGGGATCGTGATCCAACTTGTGGGAAAGTCGCCAGTTGAAAAGAAGAAAGAAGCTGAACTTGTAGCTGAAAAGGAGAAAGAAGAAGATGCAGGAGAAGCCGAAAAGAGCAGCCCAGAAAAGAAGCTATTCAAATGGGAACAAAAGAAATCCTTGGATAGGCAACCAAAACCGGCTGAAACAAGAGATCCAGAAACAATAATACACAAAATTTCTGGATATCTTCAAGAAGTTGCAAGTGAACATTCCTTTTGCAGAAGCATTGGAAGGCATGCCGAACTATGCAAAATTCATGAAAGACCTTCTGTCAAAGAAGCACAAGTTGAAGGAGAGCGAAATAATGGTCTTAACTGAGGAATGCAGTGCAATCATCCAGAAGAAACTTCCTCCTAAGCTGAAAGATCCGGGCAGCTTCAGTATCCCTATAGCCATAGGAAATATTGAAGTAGGAAAGGCATTATGTGATCTGGGAGCAAGTATAAATCTGATGCCACTTTCCATGTGTAGAGCTCTTAGAATCAAAGAGCTAAATCCAACTACGGTTTCTCTCCAGTTAGCTGATAGATCGATCAGATGACCAGACGGGGTAATTGAGGATGTTTTAGTTAAAATTGACAAATTTATCTTCCTTGCAGATTTTGTAATTCTGAATATGGAAGAAGATGCTGAGATTCCCCTACTGCTTGGGAGGCCATTCCTAGCCACCGCAAGAGCTATGATTGATGTGGAACAAGGGAAACTGATGCTGAGGATGAATGAAGAGACAGTCACCATTGATGTCTTCGAGTCAATGAAACATCCATCAGATGGAGGAGACTGTTTCATGGTTGACATAATTCAAGAAGCAGTTGATGACACGATGAAAGAGGAGAGTTCCCCACTCGAGTTAGAGCAAATCAACGAAGAAGCTGAACTTGTTGAAAAAGGAAAAGAACCAGTGGTGGAAGAACTAGAGAGAGATGATATCCCTTTTGGAGCACCAAAGGTGGAGCTTAAGGAGTTACCTCCAAATCTGAAATATGCTTTCCTTGGTGACAACAACACTTATCCAGTCATCATCAGCATCGAATTAACAATCATGGAAGAAGAAAAACTTCTCAAGGTGTTGAAGAAAAACAAATCTGCTATAGGATGGTCTTTCTCCGACTTGAAAGGTATAAATCCTTCCTTTTGTACTCATAAAATTCTAATGGAAGATGATATTAAACCTGTGAGGCAGCCACAAAGGAGACTCAATACAACCATGAAAAAGGTTGTGAGGAAAGAGGTAGTTAAACTGTTAGATGCAGGAATGATCTATCGTATATTTGATAATGCATGGGTAAGTTCAGTACAAATTGTATCCAAGAAAGGTGGAGTCACTGTGGTAAGAAATGAGAACAATAAGCTGATTCCAACAAGGACAGTCACCGGGTGGAGAATGTGTGTTGACTATAGAAGACTTAATGCAGCCACTCGGAAAGACCACTTCTCGATTCCTTTCTTGAACCAGATGTTGGAGAGACTAGCTTGTCATGCCTTCTACTGCTTCCTGGATGAGTACTCAGGTTACAACCAAATAGCAGTAGCTCCAGAAGATCAAGAAAAGACATCATTCACATGCCCGTACGGAGTCTTTGCTTACCGGAGGATGCCTTTCGGCCTGTGCAACGCTCCAGCCACTTTTCAAAGGTGTATGCTTTCTATCTTTTCTAACATGATTGAAAAATCTATTGAAATCTTCATGGATGATTTTTCTGTTTTTGGCCCCTCTTTTGACACTTGTTTAGAAAATTTATCATGTGTTTTACAAAGATCTCAAGAGAGTAACTTTGTTTTAAACTGGAAAAAATTCCACTTCATGGTAAAAGATGGCATTGTTTTAGGACATAAAGTGTCCAAAGATGGTATAGAAGTTGATAGAGCCAAAATATCTGTTATTGAGAAACTTCCCCCTCCCTCTAATGTTAAAGGTATTCGAAGTTTTCTCGGTCATGCAGGTTTTTACAGGCGCTTTATCAAAGACTTTTCCAAGATAGCAAAGCCACTATGCAAGTTGTTGGTCAAAGATGAAGAATTCAACTTCACGGATGAATGTTTGATAGCATTTAATATTTTAAAAAATAGACTGACCACTGCACCGATAATCACTGCACCAGATTTTACTTTACCTTTTGAATTAATGTTGTGCTGCTAGTGATTATGCCATAAGAGCTGTTTTAGGACAAAGAAAAGATAAATTGTTGCGTGTAATTTACTATGCTAGTAAAAATTTTAATGATGCACAATTGAATTATGCCACCACTGAAAAAGAGTTACTAGCAGTTGTCTATGCATTTGATAAATTTAGACCGTATTTGCTGGGGTCTAAAGTAATTGTTTACACTGATCATGCTGCTTTAAAGTATTTGTTGAATAAGCAGGATGCAAAGCTACGATTGCTCAGATGGATGTTGCTCCTTCAAGAGTTTGAAGTCGAGATCAGAGACAAGAAAGATATGGAGAACTTGGTGGCTGATCACCTCTCCAGGATCCAAGAAAAAGATCTTCAAGATGGACCTGAACTGAAGATCAGAGAAGAGTTCCTTGATGAGCAAATATTGGCTATCAATGTCATCTTAGATCTGCAAATGGAGGAAGTAAAGAACACAAGTACACTGATAACTCTCTAAAAGAGAGTTATTTTTAGGCTTATTTGTGATGTTTTGGTGCCATAAATATACATAATTCTCTTGGTTTTATATGATTAATGCATGAATTCTATATTTTCATGATTTGAATGAGAAATATGTTAATTGTGGATATTTGAAGATAATTTGAGTGTAAAAACCATTTATTTCTTTTTCTATTTTATTGCAGGTCAGTGCTGTAGCATTGGAAAACAGTGCTGTAGCATCGAAGATGAGGCCAGCAGCATGTCTGGTTGACATCATCACCAGCAAGCTATGGACCCAAGCCCAAATTAATAGAGGGAAGCTTCTGAGCATAAAAATAGATATTCTGATCTGAATAATCACTCAAGGATCTTCAAGAATCCTAATCAGATATCCCACAAATCAGCGCACACAAATCCAAAGCAAATCTGAAGCATATTTGGAAAGATTTGGAGAAGATATGCAGCAGCATTATGTGCTGTCCCTGATCAGCGCTGCAGCAAATAAGGAAAGAATCTCCAATCAGCGCTGTAGCAAAACAAAGCTGTATCTTTAATCATATCTGCAGTAAATAAGGAAAGAATCTTCAATGCTGCAGCAAAACAGAGTTGTATCTCCAATCATATTTGCAGCAAATAAGGAAAGAATCTTCAATGCTGCAGCAAAACAGAGTTGTATCTTCAATCATTGCTGCAGCAAAACAGAGCAGATTTGAACATGATTTGTAATGGATTTGAAGAGCTAATTGGAGCCCAATTCATCAAAGTCTATAAAAAGAGGAAGCCTACACACATCAAATAGGTTGGAGAGTCTCTCTTTGAGGCTGGACAACCTCTCTTTTAGAGAGAAGATGGGCTTTTTGAGGAGATCCAAGCCGCAAAACACTTAGAGAGATTTTGAGGGTTTGTTGAGAGAGATCCAACAAATCAAAGGGTGAGGCTAGGGTTTGATAGATAGATCATTGAATCTGGTGGATCCCTGCACTATTCTGGCGGCTGAGATACGGTGGATGGTGGTGGAGCCCATGGTTGCTGCGAGAGCAGTGCTATAGCAACGCCCCTGTTTGTTTTGTTTTAGCTTTATGGAATCTTTATCCCTCTTTGTTGTTTCTTTCTATTCAAGTATGGCCTAATTTGTTAGGATTGGGTGATAGAGTACCCTTATTGTGATGTAATCAGTTTGCCTAAACTTTGTTATGTGATTTTCTAATTAGTTGTTTAATAAAGTACTTAATTTGTCTCTATTCTTGTTGACTTATCGAGAGATAGTTGCAAGGTACTTAGGATTTGGGCTATAGACATATAGGTGAATCTTGAAAGTTATTAAATATTGTGGTTTAACTAAGTAAAATTGGTTAATTGTGGGTAGAGAGATCATTCACACCACAAAATCATATGGAACTTGAACTTAATGAATTCATAACTATGTTGGCCATAGATATGTGTGACTTAGTATACATAGTTATGAATTCATTAAGTTCAAGTTCTCTATCACCCAATCATGCAAATGACTCCTTGATAAACCTTTGGTTTACCATGTTTTTAGGCTAAATTATATGAGGAA